CTATATTAATAAAGAAAGCTTTCTTCTAGCCTTTAAAAACGCGTTTTTTAACGTATTTATATATAAGAACTATTAAAAGGCCTTTAAAGTAATAGGAATTATTCTTCTAAACGTGTAAGTTATATTAAATTACTTTAATATATAACTATATACCCTACTAGAACTACTTCTATAAGAAGACTTTTAATAGTCTAAAACTCTAAGTAATATATATAAATTTAGATTATAATTAATACTTATACGAAAGTCCTTTATATAATTACTAAAAGAGGTATAAGAAGAATTCTTATAGCTTATAAAAGGTATTAAGTTAATGCTATATTAGAATATACTTGTTTAAACTTACAACTCTAAGCTTAAAAGGTAATTAGAAGAAGTAACTAAGTGTAAAACGCGTAAAAGAAAGTATATTTAGTATAGTAGTATAGTATTATATAGTAAGGGATCTTTATATATAGCTGCTGAAGTATCTATAAGTTCTTAGCTCTTTAAGAAGACTTATAGTACTAATACTTAAGAAAGGGCTCAACCAGCTCAACGCTACTATAGTAACTATAGTAAGACTGGATATAACGCTTATACGTGCTAAAAGGATAGTAGGGAAAATTCTAAATTAGATAAAAGTATATTATATATAGAATCTCTTATTAGTATTAAGTAAATTAACTTTTCGTATATAGTATTCGTTACGCTAAGAAAAAGTAGCCGCTTTAATAGTTTAGCTGCTTCGATAGTAGAATACGTTATAGTATTTATTATACTAAAAAAAAGTAGCTACTTTAATAGTTTAGCCGCTTTAATAGTAGAATACGTTATAGATATTATCCTTTATAATTAATATATTAAAAGTAGCTTTAAAGGCTAGAAAGAACTTAAGTTTTATAATATAGTTAATATAATTATATACTAAGACTAAGATCTAATTTCTATATATACGTTTTAATAGTAAGAAGTAGCTTATATCTAATAGCTATAATAGATATAATAAATAAGCTAGTATATAGAGTAGAATAATACTCTATTTCTTATAGAGTTTCTAGAAATTAAGCGAGTTATAGCTATTATAGCTATTAAAGATTAGTAGTTAACGCGCGTCTATTATACAATCTTTTATATATCTATAAAAGTATTTTAACTACTTAATATCGAGTTTATTTATTATCTAGCTGTTTTTACTAACTATAATAGCCTAGTTCTTAGGTATATTATCGCCTTCGTATTAGGTAGAGAGATAGTAGTAGCTAGTAATAATAATAAAGGGTAGAAGTATTTAGCTAGTAGTATTAATCCTCTAAATTACTAAAATCCATTTATAATTATCTAATTAAATTACTTTTAGTCGATTACATCTTTCTATACCTATAATAACTAGTTATAATAAAATAACACCTATTTAAAAGCTAGATTTATCGAAGTTATATATATCTTTATTTATAATACTATACTTCTCTTTAATATATTATATAAGTTTAAACTAGCCTTTAATTACTTTAGAATTTTTATATAGAGTTCTCTAGTAATTATAAGACTAATTTAGACGTATTTTAAGCTTAGAAGTACGTCTAATAAAGTTTCTAAGCTAATATATACTAATCTAGCCTATACTATATTTAGTAAGTAAGCTATTAACTATATTTTATATAGTAGCTAAAGTAGGTGTAAATCTTTATAAATCTAGGTTAAGTATATATTAAATAATAACCTCCTCTTTAAGTTTTGTTAGTCTCTTTAAGTTAGACTTATAATTATACTATAAGCGGATTCTAGTATATTATTAGTATACGGTTATTTAAATTATATTAAATATTAAAATAATATATTTTTTACTATTTATTTAGCCTCTTTTAATAGTTAAGAAAGCTAAGTTTACTTAATTCTTATTTTAGGCTATATTTTTATTATTTTATTATTATATTATTATTAAAAACTTAAGTATCGTATTTTAATAATAGGGTAGACTATTTGCTTATATAGGCTGCTTACTTGTAAAGTATATTAGTACTTAATATCTTTCTTCTAAATCTTTCTTTTTTAAGTCGCCTATAGTTTAAGCTTCTTTTCTCTAGTAGTATTTAGATTTATAAGTCTACCTATATTAGTAGTTTTTACTAAAAAGTATACTCTCTAGTAATATACTTATCTTATTTTTAAACTAATATAGTTTATTATTAATTCTTATTACTAGTTAATAGTATAATACTAGATTTTAAAGTTATTCTATATATATTATTACTCTTCTTATTTCTATTTTTAACTCTCTATAGAACTTTACTATTATATTATAATTGTTCTATATAACTTTATTTAAGAGCTACTAAAAGTTTAATATAAATAAGATAATAGATTCTAGTTAAATTAAGTTGTAGAGTTTATCTTCTACTACTTATACTTTATCGATATTTCTAAACGCTAGTTTAAGTTTCTATTAGAAGTATATTAGACTTATAAATATTATCTTAGTTTTACTCTTCTAATATTCTTCTATATAGTTCTTAAAATCTATTGGAAAGGATTAGAACTAGTTAAAGGGTTTACTTATTAGGTATACTCTTATAAATAGTACTTTCTTATTCTTATACTAGATAATATCTAGATTAGTATTAATATAAATTCTTACTACTATTAGAAATTCTTTAAATTTAAACCTAATTCTATTAAATTTATTAAATAATATTAATTTAATTTATTACTAATAATTTATTATTTATAGTACTCTTTTAACTTATTTAAATTTCTAGATAATTCTTATAAGTTCTATTCCTTATTTACTATTAACTATTTCTTATATTTCTTTAAGCTTCTAATCTATTTATCTATTAGAGCTAACTAGTTCTATTATTATACTAACTTATTCTATATTTTTATAAATATAGTTATTATACCTACTTTTAAAAAGGTAGTTTTATTAGCTAATTCTAATATTCTACTTATATAAGTTTCCTATATTACTTACTAAAGGTATCTCTTTCCTTATAACTAGAGTAGTCTAACTAGTCTTACTTCTTCTAACCTTATAAGGGTAGTTAAAGTATAATAGCTTCTAATTAGCTAGATATAGAATAGAATAATAATTAAGAGTAATTATATACTATAAGAAGATTATTCTTATAGGTTTATAATAGAAGTATATAAATAGAGTATAGAAAGGATATTTAAGTTAACTATAAAGAGCTATAAAGATTAGAATTATAAAATTATTAAATATAATTTTATTCCTTTCTATTCTCTCCTACTTAATTATTACTTAAAAACTAAGCGGGTTTAATAGCTTAGTTTTAATTAAACTACTAAATTATTTATATAATTAGTTTTACTTACTTATCTATATAGAATTTTATATTTTAATAGATTTTAACGTAAAAGTATTTATAATATTAAAGTATACTATAGTAGTTTAAAATATATTATATTAGTTTAAAATATACTTTAAAATAATTCTTATTATTTTTTTTAATATAGTAGAAATAAATATTATATTAAATATCTTTATAAAAATATTCTACTATAAATAGTTTTAAAGAAGTAAATTTATAGTTACTATCTATTTTATATAGTTTATCGCGAACTAGATACTTTAAATAGTAGAAATAGTAGATAGTATAGGGTTTTTTATTTTTAGCCTCTTTAATATAGTACTTCTAAACTAGAGTAAGTACTATATTATATATTATAGATCTATTAAGTATAAATTAGCTATTTATAGACTAGAAAAGTACTAAGAAAAGTATAAGAAGAGTATATATAGAAGAGTATAGTAAGAATAGAAAAATAGGTAGTAGGTAGTAGGTAGTACGGGTAGTAAGTATATATATCTACTAGTTCTTATTAGTTATAAAGTACTCTATTATATTCTATATAAAGCTATAATAACTATATTATATATATATTTAAAGACTAAAAGAATTATACTTATTAAAGTAGTTAAGAAAGTATAAGAATTAAAAAAGTAAAATAGGTAGGAGGAGTAGTATTTTAATAATTAGTATTTACTCTACTAATACTATTTACTTATACTACTCTAAATAGTAAGTAATAAAGATTTTCTAAGAGTTAACCTTACTAGATAAAGATAAAAGTAGTAGTAATAATATACTACTTTATTTAGAAGGAATTCTAGATTATATAATAGTACCTATTTTAGAGTAGCTTTACTAGTCTATTCTAATAATATTTATCCTCTATAAACTATTATAATAATAGCTTTTTAAGAAGGAAAATAATATAATATTTTATATTTTTAAGTTATAAGTTAATAATATAGAATTATCTAATCTAGGGTTAAAATAGCCAAATTATACCCTATAAGAATAGTAGTAATTTATTTCTCTTTTATTAACTATCTCTTTTCTAAAAGAACTAAATATATAAATATTTTAGCTCTACTACTCTATCTAATATTATTATACTATAATCTATTATACTAGTATATTATAGCTAAAAGTTTAATTAATATTAATTTATAATTAGATTTAAAGAGATATAAATTTATTATTAGCTTTTATTATTAAAAAACTAAATTAGCTTAAAAAAGAGTTTATAAAAGTAATATATTAGATTACGTTAATATATAATAAAATTATCAGCTTTTAAAAAGTGAATAATATAGTAATAAAATAGAAATAGCGGGAAAAAAAAGCAGATTTAAGCGTAAGAAACCCTAATAAAAGTATAAAGAGAGATAATTATTACTAAAAAGGATAATAAGGAGGAAATTTAGGCTATATATATAATACGCTAATTTAGGGTGCGATTAGATATAAGCAGACAGTATAAAACGCGCTATAGCTGCTACGGCAAGACTAGGCATAATTCTCGTACGTGCTAGAAGGGTGCAGAGGTTTTTATAGAATAATCGCGCAAGTTGTAAATTGTTATACCACTTAGTTGCTGAGCTATACGTATACAAAGGCTGAAAAAGTTGATAGGGTGGACCGCTCGCTTGTATGGGCCGCTCGCTTGTAAGGTACGTTATAAGAAAAGAAAACGTCAAAAATTCAAATCTCTCCCTCGGGGAATCGAACCCCGGTCTCCCGCGCTTGTAGGAATTAGGTTCGAGGGAACTTAGAGTATTGACAAGCGGAAATCATGACCACTGACTCATTGTTAGCAGTGCTTTGTACTACGATTCGCGGATGAGTACGAACCTAGACCAAGGAAGATTTGCTTGTTTTCTTGCCACATACGTTTCCATTATTTAGATACCAATTCCAAAAAAAGGGTTTTCTACCTTTTATGATGAATGCGTTGGAGCCGATAAATGAGGAGCCTGCATCCGCGGAGGCAATTCGGCTCGACATTGGCGCGGCTGTGGCGGACGGCGGTAATTATGACAAGGCCCGAAGAGACCGTATCCATCACCGTACCAGCTATTGACAACACCGTCCAAAATTTGACATGCGCACTTCATCCACCAGCGCTTCCATCGAAATAGCTACATCATTAAGCTTCTACTATTGTACCTAGATATTGGTGCTTGATTGACGCAACAAGGTACTTCCCGATTCAGAAGCCGTGGCGCCAAGATGTACTACGTCATGCGCCCGGCATATAATTCCAACCTCTCACTTGCATCGTCCATCTCTGGAACAGTCCGCTAATGTACTTTCAGAATTATTCAATAACCGCTTTGCTTCCTTTGTAGAGATCATCTAGCATGCCTAGAGCTTGGACAACTGCCCAGCCTCAACCATGTTCCAAGAAGAGCGAGGATCCGGTGACAGTACTAGCCACCGGCTTCGGAGTAAGCGATATCTAATTTCTTTGCGCAAATTGTCTTGGGTGTCTTGTTTCTATGTCTTGGACTAGGGCTACGTCTATTCCCTATCATCGTTACACTTCATCGTGGACTTGTACCCTCCAGAAGCCCATTAGATCCCAAGGACCCGAAGTCGAAAATCCACTGTCACGTGGGTATGATCTCGGAATTCTTGTCGTCATTTCGTATTGTTAAAGTACCCTCTCATTTTACCAAATTATTATCCAATTCTAGAAAGAACCCTATTCTAACCTCTCTACAACCGTTCCTCGAGAAATACCCGAAGAACTCGTCCTGGGAAGTAGCTTCAACTCTCCCTGCCCTTCTTCCATCGACTCCCGACCATCCCACCCCAGTCCACATCCATGTCCACCACGAGCCTATCCGCGTCGCCTACTATTCCGTTCTCGATCTTGTCCCCAGGCTCTTATCACCGCAAAATCCCATGACACCAACCCCCGATATCATCCTGCATATCGGCCTCGCGGCCGGACGTGATTTCTTCACGCTGGAACAAGGCGCCCATAGGCGCGGCTACGGCGAAATTCCCGACGTAGATGGCGAGAAATTCGTCGACGAGGTGGCCGATGAGCGGTTCCCGCCCGCTATATATCCACCACTCCTACAAACATGCTTCGACACCGAAACAGCACTAAAGAGATGGAAAGACAATCTTGGCTACTCAGCTTTCAGCTCTAGACCTGAAGAGGGAAAGCCCGATGTGAGACTGAGTCCAGACGCTGGAAACTTCTTGTGCGGGTTTATCTATTATAATTCGCTAGCACATTATTATACGTTGAATGAGAATGAGAGGCCAGTCGCATTTTTGCATGTTCCAGACTTGAGTGATGGCAAGGGGAAGTTGGATGTTGGGAGGAGGGTTGCAATTGGGTTAATTAGAGCACTGGTAGTGGCGAAGAAAGAGAGGGGTATTGGCAATCGCGTCACGAAGGTTGCGAGGGTCGGAGATAGCAAGAGTTTGGTAGCGGAGACAGATGTGAACTTTACTTGAGGTCGGCTAATTCCGGAGAATTATAAGTTCGGTCTTATAAAATTTAAGCCCTATGTCTATCATACATCGAGCTAATGACGATGAGACGTTCGGATACCTTGTACAACTATCAATAAATCATTGGTCGACTATTGTATCGAGGTCTGTATTTTTTGATGATTTAAGTATAGCAGCTAAATAATCTCTTGAAAACGCCGCATTTCACGGCATTGCGTTAGTGTTCGTCCGCTGATACAAGTTTTATATGCTCTTATTCTTTTTTGGATTACATATCATTCCACACACCAACTACAAATCCCAAAAGAGAGGGTCTCAACTTCTTTCTTAAACACTTTCAAGTTCCCTCTCCTTACGACCACTCCCTTAAGACTTTTTACGAAAACCATGTTGATCCCAATTGCGATTTCTAGTGCGATACAATAGAGTGTTGAGATAGATCGTTGCTGTTCTTGCTAGATTCAAGGACAAGGACGGAAATGATACCCGTTCCGCTTTACGCCCTGAAGTAGGGGTTTCTAGAATAAATCAAATACCATTAGGCTGTTTCGGAGCTTGGTCCGTTATCATCGTCGTGACGAGGCGCTTTCCTATTTTTGGTCGTCAAGACTGCTCACAAAGTATATACCCTAAGTCAGAGAGGGCTCTGGAAGGTCTCTATATGAATTCCTACGACTCTTTTATTGGACTTTAATGTCTTTGGTATATCAACGTGAGTACCGACGGCACTAGCACGTCATAGTGTGAGTCTTGGAATAACGCTGCATAGGCACAGTCTTTACATATTCGAACACACTGAGTTTACCAAATCCTCGACAACCTACCTAGTAATCAGTCACTAAACATGTCTGGAGCAAATTTTCTCGTAACAGAATACCAGTATTCTCATCCACATACTCTCCAATTGGTGAAACGTGATGATGCTATGCTCCGACTAGCCGTCAAAGTGTATCGGCCACGGACTAACTCTGACCCCACTAAGGATTTGGTGACCATCATCGCAACCCATGAAAATGGGCTTCCCAAGCAGTGTCATGAGCCCCTTTAGAACTATCTTTTAAACAAACCCAAAGGCTTCTAGGTTAGGTCTATCTGGATTTTGCACACAGAGGCGCAACCTACGTCCTGAACGTTGTCATTCTTGAAGACGATCCGAACTGACCAGATCATTTGCACGATTGGTTTCTTATGGCCAATAACTTCGAGACCGATTGAGCCCCTCTTTTCGTAGGGGTGGCACAGAGTATGGGCGTGGCGCAAATGTCAGCTTTCATGCATAGTTGAGATCCAAGTGTTAATTCTTTTATACCATTCGCCTTGCGCAAATGCGCCCGCATCCTTTCTATTCATTAACTACCATAGAGTCGGTATTGTATGATATAACACCTTCCGGCCCGAATACAGCTATGCATTCTTCTGTTCGCCATGAGATTTGGGAGCCTTGAAGTGCCGCTAAGGAGGCAATTAGCGGGATTGACTTCTTCCAATCCATGGGCTTTCGGGCCCTCGAGAAATATTCGAAGTGTGCCTCAAAGGGCTTAGAAAATAGCCGGATAATATTAAGTACTCTCAAGGCATAGAAGGAATGGCCATATTTCTAGCTTGATTTCCGGCCCATTCCTGTAGAATCAACTGTAGACGAGAGACAGAGAACGTACGATCAACCCCGATTATACACCTTTTTCACTTTATTCTTTTCCAATATAGACAAGGCCAGAGGGAATACTTATCCTACAATCCCTTCCAGATCTCCATCTTCGAAGACTGTCCCTGTTCCGCAGCCTTTCACTCCTCATCGATGAGGAAATACGCCAAAAAAAAAAAAAAAAAAAACCAAATCCGACTGAAGCGTGGCAAGAATATAATGGAGGAAAGTCAGGCGGAGGTGTAGAAGACGTTGTCTTGGTAGATGTAAGCTCAGGTCACGTGCCTGGTCAACTGTGCAGCCCTTGACTAAGCAGTCTTATGTACTATATATTCCCCCGCCGGATCTTGACCGAGAGGTCAAGGGACCTCATCAATACATCCATCTATACCACCCTATACAGTCTCCACCCCCTCCTGCTTACAGTAGACTTTAGCCCTCTATATTGTTTTGAGAACCTCCAGGCGGTATCGGGAGCTATTTCCGAGTGGTTCAACGTGGATATTCGAGATAGAACAAATGACGTGATTTCCGGGCCTTCTTTGATCCTGGGAAAAGCAGAAAGGACAGGACGGAGCTCTCATATAAGTGGATTGTAGGAGTCAAGACACTAATACCCAGCGGCCTATCGCCAAAGCTACTTGGAAGATATAAGAATTGTGATTAAAGCCTTAATTTGTCCTTAAATTTAGGCATCTAGTTATTGCAAGTACCACTACAAATTCTTATCTAGTGAATAACATTCCAAAATGTGTTATCAGCTGGCCATTGAATGGATAATTAACTAGACTTTTATGATATAGTCAATCTATTAACTAGCCAGTTAGCTAGTCGTATACACACCTAAGCTAATCCTTTACAGCTGCCATAACCTTAGTGAGAGCGGTTACGAACGCAGGGCTGGATATCGGGACATGGAAACAAACAAGCCGAGGATGCTCTAGCATTGTCTAGGTAGCTAATTGATGAAAAGAGTACTGCTAGGCTGCTAGAAAGGATTGGTTGTTGGATCGGTCTATCATCAACATCGTGCACCCGAACAGGTAAGCAGTGTCAGCAAGGAGGAAGAGTTGTGGAATACAGCTTTTCAGCAACTCCTAGGATGATCGAGAATTAGCATAATCGCGTTAATTAGATAATTTTGTTATTGTGCACTAAATTTATGTGTATAATAAGAATATTCCTATATAAGGATTATTCTTTGTGATAGGGATTTGGCGCGTCTACTGAGTACGATTTCCTACTACCGTACGGGAGCAAGTTATCCGGTTGCAGGTTGTATCAGATACCGTCGCACGATATCAAATCACGCTGGATATCAGCTGATATACCCTTCCTTATATACATAAATATGGCCTGCTGGCCATCCTCAATCAACCAGTTCAGCTCCTCATCTCCCTCCCTGAGACAAGATTCGCCTCTCACCACAGTATCTATAGCACCCTTCTCGCACGTACGCAAGTTATGCCCAGCCTCTCTGCAGCGACTGCAGTGTATAGAAGCCTGCCGGCCTTAACGTAATATGGTGTCACGGAACGTTTATATGCGGCTGGTTAAATGTACTTTAGGCAGTTAACTCTACTACTACGTACTACGTTTGAATATTAAGACGTTGCATAAAGACTCAAGATAACTACAATATACAGGTTTTTATAGGGGCTAGGTATATGCTGCTGCACGGACTAGTCTGGTCGGCG